AGAATGTTTGGTTTGATTATTGCAGGAATTGTCTCCCTGGCTCTCCTAATTTCCAGTGTGGCAGTTTCTTCAGTGGCCATCACATATTCTGTACAAACAGCTCATTTTATAGATAACTTGACAAAGACTGCTGATGAAAGTGGAAAATCCATTGTAACATAGATGCTAAATTACAGATACAACTTAGCATACTGGAAACTTCTTTGTTATGGATGGGAGACCAAATAAAGAGTCTACAACTCTTATAAGGGTTAAAGTGCCATTATAAGGCCACTTGTTTGGGAGATTGTGGGCCTGATCAGCCCACAACAACTAACGGTTATTAACTCAGTAGGGTTGCATCCTGCTTAGGGGGTCTTCTCATTTGTTTTGTTTTTGTTTTTATTTCATTCCTGGGTTGATGCTTATAAATTGTTTATGCCAGGTAGCTTTGTTGCTAGTGTTGAGAACTCTTAGGAAATGACTATTTCTCAGAGATGTCTTCCACGTATAGCTAGCATTTGAGGTGATTTTTTGTTTTTTCTTTTTTGGGGGGGAAGTTCTGGTACTGGGAATCAAACTCATGACCTTGCACTTGCCAGGCAGGTGCTGTGCCACTGAGCTAAATCCCTAGCCCCCAGCTTTTGAGTTTTTAGTCTGTTGCAAGATCCTACCTCTTCAGTTTCTTGGAGATGAGAAATTGCTGCTTATTGGGCCTAGCCTGTGGTTCTTTGGCACTGGCCTAAAGTATTATTTATGACCCTTAGGCAGTGTCAGTCTTGGCATTCCAGGAAGAACAACTGATTAGAACAATTATATCAACTTGGCTAAAGTAGTACAATCAGCAGTAACAATAGCATTAAACACAGCCTAGAAAATAAAAAACAGTAGTAACTATTAATTAGCCATCTTTAACCATAGGAACTAGATTTGTGGTGATATATCAAAATCTAAAATAAACTAGAAAATTCTATACAGTAAATACACTCTCAGTCTGGCAATTTTACCCTCAGGGGAGAAAATTTTAAAGAGGTTAAGGATAAGAAATAGAGAAATAAAAAGGAAAAGAGATTAGAAGCAAGGTTGGAGAGCAAAGGATGATCATGCAAACTTTGGGAAACTGGTGAAGAAGACAGGAGGGAAATAGAAAAGGAAGAAATACAAACAAGTACAGAACAACAAAGAAAAATAGAAGCTCATATAAAAATAAGAGCAAACAATCTGGAAAAAAATAAAACAGGAAAAGAAAAACAGATATCCACCTCAGGGATGTCTCTGCTACAACTGATAGACAGAATAGACAGACAGAGCCCAGATCCATTTTGATTATTGCCAGCAAGCCAGCTGTAGATTTACAGTGGGGTAGCAGATAATCCCAGCAATCCTGCACCTCTAGTTCCACTGAAGTTCAGGCTGGTTTTGGTTGTGAGGCTAGAACCCTATTTATTCAGCCTGCAACACTCTGTCTGCCTCCTGCTAGCTTGAACGCAGCTCCCTGTACTGGCTTGAACTCAGCTCCTTCACCTGCGACCGATTTGAACTTGGTTCCACCTCCCCCAGTCCCTGGAAGCCACTAGATGGAGCCAGCCTCCAGCTGCTCTGAGTTCTGAGCTCAGTTGGCCTGGCTCCAAGATGGGTACTGGCCAGTTGCCCTCTTTTGGGGGACATCTGAACTCAAATAACTCACCAGCCACTGCAGTCCATTATGTCCATTGCTTTGTTCCCCTGGTCCATTTCTCAGTGGAGGCCTCTGGGGTTGCCAGTAGTCACTGTGCATCTTCAGGTTCAAGCTGCCCCTCCCACACAGTGAGTCAGGGCTGGGGAGAAAGCGGTGCTTGCCTCCTCCTTCTTCTGCTTTGAGGTCTCTCTCCCCATGGGCTTAAATTTTCACTTCAGAACCTTGCTGGGTGCTGGTGACCTACTTCCTCCTCCTCTTCTCATTGCTGTATTCCAGTGTCTGGCTGTTTCTCTGCTGTTCACCACTCTGCCATCTGCCCAGAAGTAATCTTTAGAAGTAAGTCTTAGGAAAAGCTCTGCTTGTCTTAAGAACTATGAAATAGATATTTCCCTTTTCTGTTCTTTCCTTTTTATAGTCAGGAAGCTTAGCGTCAGCTGTAAAAGAGCTTTTAGAAGTGATTCTCAAACTTTTCATGGTTGTGAAGCACTTTGGGATTTTTTGTTTGTTTTAGTGCTAGGGATAGAGCCCAAGGCTATGCACAAGCTAGATAAGTGCTCTACAACTAAGCTACATCCCCAGACCCGTGAAATACTTTTGAATATTAGAATTTGAAGCAGTCTATTTAAAAGAATCAAACAACTTGAAAATAATTCTAAATCAATTATTATACCATCTCAGAAGGCCTAAAATGCATCCATAATTAATCCACTATCCATATGCCCCCCTTTCTAAACTGTAGTTGTTTGGGAATTATTCCTGTCCCAATGATTTCTCACATAACCCTAGAACAAAGCTCTCTGTCACATTCCAGTGAATTTCTTTAAAGCCAATTTAACTCTATGCTTTGTTTTTACTTCTAACTTGCAGGTTGTACAACCTGCTCCATCTTAACGTTACATATGATGGTCATGACTGTTTCATAACAAAAATTAAAGTACACATCTATGGAAACCTTGCCACATCCTCCATCAGAATTCTAGTCAGGAACCATCATCATCACTTGTTTTCAATTTCTTCTACTGAGACTGGCTGACATAACGCTATTTTCTTTATTCCAGGTACTTTGTCTTCATTCATATTTTACTATCTCCTGGCATGCATGTCTTGCTTTTTAAAATTCTTCTTGCAATGAGAGGTTTCACAACATATATTTAAAAAAAAAAAAAAAAAAAAAGGAAATGTTTTATCTTCGCTGCCTACTCTCTACTGCCCTCTGCAGGTTGAAGAAAAGAATATGAGAGCCCCAATTTATGACTACATTTCTATAGCAATGTAGATTCTTAACCAATAGGAAGGTTTAAAGCAATTGATCATTTTTGAGAAGCTAACCATTACTACTCAGACTCCATCTATTAACAGGAAAAGTTTCCAGATTTATGAGAGCCCCTCCACTGTGAACCGATCTCTGGAAACCATGCTCACTATTTTCAATAGATATCCCCATCCCCTGCACCCATTAGCAACTATTTGCATATTACCTAAGTGCTCATTACCAACGTCTTCTCTTATTCTAGGTCGTGGCTAGAATCTCCATGCCACAGATCCTTTCAGATGTGTACATTTTGGGTCTGAGAGAGAGAATAGCGACTCTATAGTTTTAATGCTACGAGAGTGCAAACGTGCTGAGCAGACAAATGCCAACAAACGTTGGAACGCCTGTAACACAGTAACTAGAAATAATGTGAGATTTTGCTTAGTGTCTTTACTAAAAGTGTAAGGCAGGCTGCAAGATAACCAGCAAATAAGCAGCTTTGATTTTGTTCACAAAGGGCCACTGATTATACATGGATTATTTTCTTCTGTCACAATACTTTGTGCGGCTAGTAACACTGCCAGTGATGTCACCTTCTAAAACAGACCTGAATGTATAGACATATTGTGCCAAACGAGCCCAAAGCAATGACCTGGGTAATGCAATCAGGGTAACACTATTATTCCTTGCATAAACCTTCCAGCTTGTAGAAAAATAAATGCTAATCTGATGCAAGTTGAAGGACTGCACTGCGTGGGAAAGAAAATCAAGCCCTTGTTTACTTTTGTTTACATTCTAATAAATACAGAAAATGCATTACAGAATTTAATATTACTGTGTGCAGCCAAATATGTTATTTCATTTTTGTTTTAGTGTCAGGTTAAATAACTTATGAACAATCACAGTTCCTTGGATAAGGGTATTTTTTTTCTAAAGAATTGATTTCCAAGTATGTTTTCACATAGCAACAGCAGAATCAGAATGCTTCATAGCATTCCTGATAGAGAAGGCATCCTGTTTTATTGATCGGAATAAAAAATTTTTTAGAAAGGCATATAGCTTCTAGTCCCATTTGCAATTGCTTTGTGTAGCAGTTGGTTCATTCTATTTATCTTCATGATGTATAATAATGACTTAAATCAAGCAGGCTTAAAATTTTTCAACTTCTGGAAGCCTAAGGTTTCTGAAGTGAAAAATAGTTCTTCAGAAGGTATGTAGGAAAGAGATTCATTATGTCTTTTCATTTCTTTAAAAGTATATACTGAGTTGTGTATTCCTATGCATCAAGGCCAGCCTGGGCAATGTAGGGATTTATACTGTGAGGCCTTGGGCCGGTTGTGGTGCTGTACGCCTGTAATCCCAGCGCTCAGGAAGCTAAAACAGCAGGATCGCCCTGAGTTAGAGGTCAGCCTGGGCTACATAGGGAGTTCAAGACCAGCCCTGAACTGCATAGTAAGACCCTGTCTTTAAAAAAATAACATAGCAAAACCTTGTCTCAAAAACAAGATAGAAAATAGGAAATGCAGATAGATCTCTTGCAAATGGGAAGGGGGATCAAGAGATGAAGAGAAAATGGCACATGCCCATAATCCCAGCACTAGAGAGGCTGAGGCAGGAGGATTGCCGCCAGTTTGAGGCCAGCCTGGGCTACAGTGAGTTCAAGGCTAGCCTGCCCTACTTAGCAAGACACTGTGAGAGAGAGAGAGAGAGAGAGAGAGAGAGAGATGGAGGGAAGGAAAGAGGAACAGACAGATGAGAAGTAATAACAAGAAGTGTTAAGTACGTAATTAAGATGTGTTAAGTACATATACCAACTCCTCAAGACCAATATAATCATTATGGACTGAGGACATGTACTAATATAAATCAAAAGTATATAACTACTGATTTAAAAAAATAAAAGTTCCCACTGAGCGCCTGCTACTGAGTCAGGCAAATTCCAGAGCGGCTTTGAATACCACTGCCAGGGAGACCTCACATCCGGGCCTCCTCGGGCAGAACCCCTCCCCACGGAGGCGGAGCCACGGGTCGCGCCCCGCCCTCCGCCGCGCCCCGCCCCGTCCGTCATCCCGCCACGTGCTGGGGGCGTGGCCTGCGCGGAGAGAGGCCGGAAGCCCGGGGCGCTTGCAGGTGGCAGCAATGGCAGACGGCGGCCGAGCTCCTCAGGCCCGGGCGCTCCTTCAGCAGTGCCTGCACGCGCGATTGCAAGTTCGCCCAGCCGAGGGAGACGCCGCGGCCCAGTGGGTAGAGGTAACGTCGGCCTGGCAGCACCTCTCGTTGTCCTCCGATGCGCAGGGGCGGCTCTGAGCGCCTCGTCTCAGTGCCCCGCATCTCCTGTGTCCTCCCGTACCTCGGGATGCGCGGGACTTCGGGCCGCCGCTCCAGACGCGGCCCGCGCGGGCTGCCCGGCTGCGCCTCCCCCTGCGGTCCTGCTCGCGGTTAGGGCCGCCGGACCTTGGGACAGCGGCGGACGAGCCTGTCCGCCTGGCGGACCTCGGGGATTTGAACCTGCGCTCACGCTCTGTCTCTCCGCGCTCGGGGGACCTTAGGCCCGAGTGTCCCAGACACCTGCTGCTCGCGGCCAGTGCTGGACAGGTCCCAGTTTATAGGTTAGATTTGCTCCAAGAGCTTAAGATCTGCGAACTGCTTTCACGTGTGTCCTAGCTTATGTTGACTGTCACTTGTTCTTAGCATAGAAATGAGATTTCCCAAGAAACAACTTATTTTGCACGCTCGTGCGCACTCGCGTGTGTGTTATGTGTCTGGGTCTGCGTGTCTGGGTCTGTGTGTGTTCTGTTTGGTTTTTAGGTTTTTGTGTTTGTCTTGGTGCTGGATGATCAAACGTAGAGTCTCACGCATGCTGGACAAGCGTCCTACCAGGGATCTTCAGTCCCCAGCCCAAGAAACTTGTTTTGATTTATTTCTTTTTTTTTTTTTTTCTTTTTTGTTTTCTTTTTTGTTTTTTTCCGGTACCAGGAATTGAACTCAGGACCTTGCTCTTGCCAGGCAGGCACTGTGCCGCTGAGGTAAATCCCCAGCCCCTTGATTTATTTCTAAGAAACAAAGACCACTACTTTTATTATAATGTCACATTATTGAACACATTTCCTCCAATTTGAATATAAAATATGTACAATCAATATCTTCCCCTTGTGTACTTTGTAAGACAGCCTGCCTGCTCTCCGTTGCCAAAACAAAATGTTAAGTCCCCTGACATATTTTTGGAGTAAGTTGAATTGAATTATAAAGAAAAAGTTCGTAATTAAACTTGGAGATACTCAGAATCTTCAGTGTAGGAGCTCATTCACTTACCTTCTCTGCTACATTGGGTCCCAGATTTAGCATTCCTAGTCATTAAACACTACTGATGAATTGTGATATGTGGCTGACTATTCCTACATCAGAATTTGTGACCCTGTGCTAATTTGGAAATATTTACAGACATTAAAAAATCCTGTAGTCCCACCTCGCGTCAAAAATTCTTTTTCCGTGTATCTAGTTTTTGTTAGGACCTTTTGTTGAAGTTTTGATTTCTCGCCCGTATTTGAAATTTTTGGTTTTTAAAATATTTCTGTTACCTATTTTATTGCCTAGTAGCACTATAAATTCCTGATTGTTAATCATTTAGAGCCTTTCCACGCTACTCTATCTTTTTTCCACATTTCCTAACCCAAATCACAGATCTTTTATTGCAGCCTTCCAAACTATCATTTTGTTTGTAAACTTTAAAAGCTGTTTTTAAAGGCTTTCCCTTCCACTCCCACACAGACTAATTAAAGAGTCGACAAGTAATTAGATGGTGAGAAAGTGTAAATTCTTCCCTTTCTCACTCATCGTGTGCCCTGTTCTATTATCACAGCTCTCATTGTTTTTTAGAAACAGCATCTTAATTGTTAAAAGATTTGAAAGTTATTCTGCTGGTTCTTAGTTTCATTCATTTAGAACTTTGCTATCATAGACTTTTTCTTCCTGGGAATTGAACATTCTTAAACTACAGTACAAATTATCTATAGTTTTCTATAAATTTGAAATGTTTTATACCAAAGAAGCTGCAAGGAAAGTGATTTTGACTTGAAGGAATCTATAAGTCACATATAAGATCTATTATTTGAATAAACAAAAAGAAAATAATGTAATGAGGTAATGTGATGTGTGGAAAGAATAAATATCTATTTCTGCAAATGAATAGGTACTTAATTCTGACATTGCAAGCATCCAGCTATGAATATGCTGAAGATTAGGATTCATGCTGGAAATAATATCAAGGGAGAGGCCTGTGATAGTAGCGTAGATGATCTCAATCATTCACCCAGCCAGTCCCTTGTTATGAGGATGCACTGAGGACTCTTGTCTGTTATCCAGAAGCACAATTGCACTTCGTTAAAACTGACTCCTTTTGACCGGGCATGATGGCACATGCCATCCTAGCACTCAGCAGGTGAGGTGGGAGGATTGCTGCAAGTCTGAAGCCAGTTTGGGCTACATAGTGAGTTCAAGGCTAGCCTAAACTACAAAGCAAAACCCATCTCCAAAAAAAAGGACTCCTTTTCTAGGTAAATCAGGTGTGACTACAAAGCTGCTTTTACATTGACATAGAAACCATTTAGACAACATGTAGAGCCTAGAAGATACAGTGGAATTTTAGAGCAATTAACAGATAAATTGGGTCTCCATCATATATAAAAGTCTGTAAAGTACTTGGAAAGTTAAAATGTGAAATAAATTGTGTGTATTACCTTTAAATTTATTTGTATATACTAACTTAATAATCACATATGAACCAGGTATGATGGCACATGCTTGTAATCCCACCACTCTGGGAAAATAAAACAAGATTGCAAGGTCTAGCCCAGCATTGGCAATTTAATGAGACCCTGTCTCAAAATTTTTTAAAAGTAAATAACTAAAAAGGACTGGTATGTAGCTCAGCGCAAAGGCCTGGGTTCAATCCGCAGTGCCAACAGATGGATGGATGCATAGATAGATAGCACTTACTATGAACCTGGCACTGTTCTAAGCACTTTATAAACATTAACTCATTTAATCTTCCTAATACCTCGTGGAGTCAGTGAGGCTCTTGGAGTTATCTAAGTTAATATATAAAGTTGGATGATTCACTCAGCAACAGAATCACAAACATTTATCAAGTGTTTCTTATGGTCTATCTTACAAGAGATAATAAATAACCCAGTCATTATTTAAATGTTTGTATTCCTGATGACAACCAGCCTTGTCATGTAGAACTTGTTATCATAAATGTAATTTTCAAAGCTTAATCATTATGTATATTTAAAGCACTTACAATAATAACAGAAAGATAATTGGACTGTTTCCTGGAGTTGATAGAAATAGAATCAGACCCCTATTTTGCTATCTGCAAATAAATACATGAGGAGAAATAAACAGACAAAAGACATCAGTCACACTGATACTTACTCATCAGTCTTGTCTGGCTGAATGTGAAATTATTTGGTATTGAGTAAACGGTCTTTGCAGACTAAATGTTTTGAGACTGAGTACCAGCCTTTCTTATTACGGAGGAAGCTGATTGAAAGTTCTACTGATGTTGAATAGAAATAAGTACTTGAAGTTCTGTACTGTTTTAATTGGTTTTTTTTTTCTCTTTAAAATAAAAGTATTTGAAGGTATAACTTTGGTATTTACTACTCTTGGCTATTGAAGTTTAATTTTTGAAAGAAGTAATTCAAACTTCAAGATTTTATTTTCTCATATATTTATTTAGAAACCAAATCTATTGTAAATCTGGTTTCTTTTCCTTTGCTTTTAACCTTTGTGTTCAGAATAGTAACATTTAGCTCTATCTACATAGAGTTCTTTCTAATTTGAGTTTACTGTGATTTTTCATAGATTCAAAGAGGATTAGTGATCTATGTGTGTTTCTTCAAGGGAGCTGACAAAGAACTTCTTCCCAAAATGGGTATGTGTTTGACATTTCTTTCTTTTTTTCTTTCTTTCTTTCTTTCTTTCTTCCTTTCTTTCTTTCTTAAGCGAGAAAGAACAGCAACAGACATTTATGAACAAGGGCCAAAAAGCAGAATTTTTTTTTCTTTTCCTTTGTGGTCATGTTGGGGATTGAACTCAGGACCTTGTGCATACTAGCCAAGTGCCCTACCACTGAGCTGCACCCTATCCCAAGTATCACAAGCTTAAATTGTCCTGGTGTTTTGGCTTTAGCTATTTGCCTATTGCAAAATTTAAAATGCACATGTATTGTAGACTTCTTTTAAAATATTACAGCATTTTAAATAGTTAATGGATTGGTTTAGAAGAGTAGACACACATAAACATACATACAACCCAGTTCAGCCAAGGATACAGAAAGTTGTTGGAGGCAGAGTTGCCATATAGAAAGAATCAGATTCTGCATTACTTAGTGTAGTTTTTCCTGTCCTCCAAATAAAAGTCCTTAACAGAGAACTAGATGACATCAGATATATAAGGTGCAGTGGGGGGAGGAGGGAGGTTCCCATCAAACCTGAAATAACTTAGACTTATATCATTATTCTTGGGAAGAATTTACATTAACCACTTATGTACTCTTTTGTAGGAAATATGTATAAATACAATTCTCCTGGTTCTTGAACCACACTTTCTTATCACAGCCAGCCCTCACCAGGGATACAGAAAGATTCAGGAGTCTCTGAACAGTAATTAACTTGGCTGCAGCTTTCAGTATCCTAGACAATACATAGTATTGCACATTCTGTATGGTAATTTACACATTCAGATAGACCAAATAAAATCATATGCTGTCTCAGAGCAGTACTCATTTCTAACAGTTATGTCCAGAAAGCTGCCAAAAGCTGGGTGTGGGGACACCTGCCTGTAATCCCAGCACTTTAGTACACTGAAGCAGGAAGATCCCAAGTTTGAGCCCAGCCTGGGCAATTTAGTAGCTTAGCAAGATCCTTTCCAAATAAAAAAGAGCTGGGGTATTGCTCAGTGCAAAGGCCCTGGGTTCAATCCTCAGTACCACAAACAAAAAACTGAAGTAATTAATGGTGCTGTCCCTAAAGTTAGAAACAACTTCAAGGGCAGAACCCACTAGCTAGATTAATAAATATAAACTGGCGTGGTGGCACGTGCCTGTAGTCCTAGGTACTCAGGAGATTGAGGCAGGAGAATCACTTAAGCCAACGAGTTTGAGGCCTGCAGGACAATGTGGTAACACCCTCTCACAAATAAATACATTATACACATGCATAGTTGAAGTTCACAGAAGTTAACCTGGGAGAGGTTCACATAGTAGAACTCAGGGGCAAATAGCTCTTTGAGAAACACCTTAAATAAAACCCCAAAGCATATAGAGGGGATTTTGCATTGATGTATCAACATGTTTGTCAAAGCATGAAAATGATGCTTAGGAAGGGACCAAGATGGCAAAGATGAAAAACTAATACCTGTAATAGTTGGAGATTTTAATTCAGAAGCTATCAAGAGGGGCTGGGGATTTAGCTCAGCGGCAAAGCGCCTGCCTGGCAAGCGCAAGGTCGTGAGTTCGGTTCCCGGTACCGGAGAAAAACCAAAAAAAAACAAAAAAACAGAAGCTATCAAGGAACCTTGGAAGCATTTAAGAAGAAAATGAGGACTAGGCCTAGTGGCACATGCCTGTAATTCCAGCACTCCAGAGGCTAAGGCAGGAGGATTGTTGTGAGTTTAAGGCCAGTGTGGGCTACATAGTAAGTTCAAGGCCAGCCTGAACTCTGCAGCAAGACTCTGTCTCAAATAAAAAAAAAAGAAAACGAAAGGAGGACTTGTATTAGGGAAAGTAATTTGTAAGATCCTAATGCTGGTATGTTACATATTCTCTTCACCCTTCTAAAGATATTTTGCCTGAGATTAAATCTTTATTGGCCATAAAAAAGTAGAATTATACGAGAGCAAAAGTAAAATTTTTGTCATTCTGATGTAAGATTGATTTTCTAAGTTGTCTCATGGAGGGTTAATGGATTTTTATCACAATAACTTATATAAAACAAACCCACCAAATCCAAGCTATATCTTTGCTTTATAATGATGAAATTCCCATGCACCATATTCCATAGAAATATGTCTTTGTGAGTTCACTTCAGACACATGCATAAGATTGTGGTGAATTAAATCACCTAGAAGGTCTACCTTAAATCGCTTAGTGGCCAGTGTAACACAAGGTTTATATATCATAATTCTGAGCAAAGAATTATGTGACTATAAGAATCACATTCTGGCCGAACATGGTAGTACATACCTGTAATCATAGCATTCTGGGAGGCTGAGGCAGAAGGAGCAAGCCCAGGCAAGGAAACTTAATGACTTAGCAAGAACTTGTCTCATAATTTTAAAAGGGCTAAAAATGTAACTCATGAAGGTCCTGGGTTCAATCCCCAATAATGAAAAAAAAAAATCACATTATGCTGGTTTGGGTTACAAGCAGAATAAATGCATCTGTTATTCATAGCATTAGTATGTACTCCCTTCTATTCTAGCTGGCAAAGTATGCCAGGGTGATGGGATTTTCTTAAATCCTACTTTATATTTACTACATGGATTCAAATTTGTCCAATCAAATCTTATATCCCTTGTGAATATAATCAGTTGCATCCATCAAGTCTGAAATAGCATAGCCAACAAGAAGATGTGTGGAATCTTCCTTAATTCTTCTTTAGTATAATTGGATGGAATTCCAGGGTCTGTTGAAGCGTAACTTCATGTATATATATCATTGGAGATATGCGATTGATAATCCATCTTAGGATCTTTTAGTTTCTAGCATGCTATTAATTTATTGTCTTATTCTAATTCTATTTACTTATATTTGTATTTTTTTAGTTTTATTAGTAAATATTTGTAATACTAATGATTATATTATGATTATATTCGTTATGGGGACCTGGTACGTATACATAATACATCTTCATTCTTTTAACTTCCACTTCTCCCCACCCTCCTCCTTATATTTGTGTTGTATTGACTTTTACGTGCAGATATTTATGTGCTTACAGCAATAATTGAGTTCTCAGTTATAACCAGTAGAGGGAGTATATGAAAGTACAATAAATTGTATGACCTCTCATGGCCTATTATTCCAAAATTGCCTACTTTGTCGCTAGCTTGAGGCCTAGATAGCAAGATAGTGATTTCCCTTGGAATGAAGTATTCTAGAGAGTTACAGTTTCCTTCAGAGTCAGTAAGGACTCCTGTCTATATAGCACAATTCTGTTTGTAATGGAGAAAATTAGAGGTATTTAGAAATAGATATTAGTTAAGTGAAAATTGATGGTGTTTAAAGCATATCTTAGGAATTCATTTGAGTGTTTACCTTAGATTTTTATCAGGTTAATTCTATGATTTATTGAATGGCGTAACCATACTGAATCCTTAACCACATTTCCTACAGATCCTCTAATAATTTAAACCATTGGCCATGCTGCCAGAAAGCATGACTTGTAGAGGCTGAATTTGAGGCCAGGAGTCTGAGTTTTATAAATTTCTTTTACTATTTGTCTTCTCAAGACTTTTTTGCAAACAGAATTCATTTATATCTCTATAGAGATAGGGAGACCCAAACTTTATTTATATTAGACAGTTCTTTTGGTTGTTGTTTTGAAAATGGTTAATGTAAGATGTAAAACCTAAGTTTAGGTTTTTAGCCACACATAGATATGTATGGTGGTTTTGACACTAGCTATAAATAATCTCATAAATGCTATTAAAATATTACCATGTTTTCTTGTGGGTGTGTGTGTGTATGCAGTTTTTTTTTTTTTTTTCTGGTATCAGGAATCAAACTCGTCACCTCAGGCTTGCTAGGCAAGCACTTATGCTGCTGAGCTATATCCCTGGCCCATGTGTGTATGAAGACAGTGTCAGTAGCTGTATATTTTTTATTTTTTCATTTGTAACAATTTTACTTATATGCTTCTTCCATGGGGTATATTTGTAAAAGGATTAGTCCATGTTAATAACGCCTTTAAGGTTATAACTCTACAAAATTAGCTGATTTATAATGGGATTGAACCTGGAAGCTTTGTACAGCTTAAAACTCTTAAGTAGCCAAGTTTAAAATAATAGATGCATCACAATTTTTATTGAATATTCTTTGTTATAGAGCAGAATTTGGTATGAGAAGGATTTTTTTACAGTCTTTTCCAGTGAGATTTATTTTTTAAATAAGAGGAGCAAGGAGGCAAAATATTCTAATGTATTCTGGAGGAAACAATATTTAAGGTTCCATGTACAGTTAATTCTTTGAAATCCTGGAGAATATTGAACCCAGAGCCTTCACACTAAACTATATTGCCATCCTACCCCCTTTTTAAGACACTGAGACAAGTTCTCACTAATTCACTAAATTTCCCAGGCTGACATGTAATGTCTGGCTACAACCCAAGATGAATTTAGTTAGGCAGTCTTAACTGCCAAATCAGATTTAAAGCATGCTATTTTCTACATGAAATTTGCATTATTTTTCCCATTTGGGTTAGTGTAGTAAAGCAGTTTTTAAATTCAAATAAAATCTATATAAGGAACAAGAGCTAACAAACTGGGTATTAAACATGATCTTTGCTAACTAAAAACTTGATGGTTTGCTTCGTGTTTGCTTTTCACCTCAAAATGTTTTTACCTTTCTTCCCCACCCAGTTAATTCACTGTTAAATGTAAAATTAAGTGAAACAGAAAACGGCAAGCGCGTCTCTGTCTTGGATCTACCTGGCAACATTCTTATCATCCCGCAAGCCACCCTTGGGGGCAGAGTCAAAGGAAGAAATGTGCAATATCATGCTAACTCTGGAAAAGAAGAAGGATTAGAACTTTATTCACAATTTGTGTCTCTATGTGAAAAAGAATTAGCTGCTAACAGCAAGTGTGCGGAAGCTGGGGTTGTAGTGGAACATGGCACTTACGGGAACAGGCAGGTATTGAAGCTGGATACCAACGGACCGTACACACACTTAATTGAGTTTTGAAAACTTAAATCTAGTTTATACAACAGTTTTTATGTGTAATATCTGAACTATAATTAAATTTCCTTCCCCTTCATTTTAAATATATTAATCTGCAACAATTTTCTTTTCTTTGTGGTAGTGGGTATTGAATCCAAGGCCTAGCAGGCACTAGGCTAGCGCTGCGTCACTGGGATATATCTCCACGCCCAGGCCGCAGCATTTTTAGATAAGAACATTCTGGGGCCCTAAATGACTGCAGATTGCCCTCTACATGGCTGCCAGATTACCTAAGCTTTGGATCTCAATCTTTTGTCCTTCTTTCCTACACCTTTCCACTTGAAAATTTGAAAAATGCTATTTGTTTCATTGTCACTAAAGAAAGCTTGTTTTTGAAATGATGAAATGTATTCAAACAAGAAAAACAAATTTGTTATACCCTCAAATGTATGCATATGTAATAAAAATAATTATTTGTTTTAAAATTAGGTACAAAAGGAAAGAGAACAGGGATGGGGAAATGGAGAAGAAAGAGAAATATATTTTATATATATATATATATATATATATATATATAGTCAATTATACTACTAATTTCGCTTAGTTCATTGAAAAGAAAGGTTTGTGCTACCATTGTTTGGACAATTAAATGCTGATATCTTGAGTAACTAATTTAAATTAATTTAACTAATATCTCTGAGTAATTTAAAGATAACAATACACAATATATTAACCATTGTTACCCTTCTGTTATCTTGTTTGGAAATTTTTTTTTCCTGTTTAAAACAAACAAATTAGGGCTGGGGATTTAGCTCAGCGGCACAGCACCTGCCTGGCAAGCACAAAGTCGTGAGTTCGATTCCCGGTACCGGGAAAAAAAAAAAAAAAGAATTAAACAAATTATTTGATCAGAAAGATAAAATTAGGTAAAATCCAGCACAAATTATAAATTGGACAATTTTGTTTTACTGTTCCCACTTTCTGGTTTTCTTGTTGCTTTGTGGTGCTGTTGATCCCAGCGCCTTTGCAATGAGTTACATCTCCATGCTTTTTATTACTTTTTGTTTTGAGACAAGGTCTTGCTGAGTTAAGAATTTGCAACCCATCTACTTCAGTCTCTTAGAATATTGGGATAACAGGCCTGCACCACCAGACCTAGGTAGGTTGGTGGTTTTGTTTTTTATTTTGTTTTATTTTGTTTTTTGCCTTTTTGAAACAGGCAGTTTCACTGTGCAGTTCAGGCTGGCCTTGAACTCACTTTGTAGCCTAGGCTGGTCTCGAACTCGCAGCAATACTTCTGCCTCAGCCTCCCAAGTGCTGGGATTACAGGCATGCGCCACCATGCTCGGCCTTTGGTTTTGTTTTGTTTTTGAGGTTTTGTTGGGGTTTTTGGCTTTTTTTGGTTTGTTTGTTTTGTTTTGTTTATGGTGCTAAGGATTGAACACAAGGCCCCACATATGCAAAGCACATATTCTACTACTGAGCTACATTACCAGCCCAGTGCTCTATATTTTGAATGAAAGAATATGTGATTTACTATTCCTTTTAATTTCTATGCAAATGTAATTTGATAATATTTTTGTGCATTGTATTACTTTCCATGAATATCCAAATGGTTTAGATTATTTTAAAAATCGTATAAATATGTACAATTTTTCTGTGTCAGTTAAGATTTGAGACAGGGCCTCACTATGTAGGTCAGGCTGGGTTTGAATTCACTGTGTAGCCCAGGCTGGCCTAAAACTCATGGCAGTCCTCCTGCCTTAGCCTCCCAAGATGTGCACCATCACACCTGACAAGATTGTTTTTGTTTTTGTTTTTGTTTTTGTTTTTTTAAGACTGAGTTTTTATTTTATTTTGTCTTTTTGAGACAGGGTCTCGCTGTGCAGTTCAGGCCAGCCATGAGCTCACTTGGTAGCCCAGGGTGGTCTTGAACTCACAACAATCCTGCCTCAGCCTCCTGAGTGCTGGGATTACAGATGTGTGCCACCACGCCTGGCTAAGATTGTTTTAAAAAGCCCCAAAAAAAATCTTTAGTTCATATAGGAATAAGGCACAGAATATTCATACTTGTTTTTATCAAGCATGCCTACAAAGATAGGTAAGTGTTCTTTTTCTCAGTTTTTCCAAAACCATGTATGAAATTTCCATCTTTGGTTTTTCAAAAACTGTGTAGAGTTAATGTTAGTTCATAAAACTTTTTGGGAAGTTCTTTTCCTGTTGAATTAGAGTGGTATTAAAGGAGGAAAAAGGGAAACTTTCTACAGAAATAGTTTTTTTAAATTAAATTGAATTAATTGTTTTTAATCAGTTTTTTAATCAGTCAGATGATTTGGAGCCACTTTGTTTTTCTGTTAGTACACTGTGTATACTGATATTTCTTCCCTCCCCTATATTCATTTGTGCAACTGTGATCTTATTTGTACAAGATGCCTTTAGGAGGTGATCAGTGGAGATGAGGTTGTAAAGATGGGGCCCACATGATGAGATTAGTGCTGAAGACAAAGCAATAGCTGTCTCCTCCTACCATTCTGAAGATAGCAAGGTGCCCCCAACAAGCGAGAAAGATTCTCCCCAGAAACAGGTCACACTGGCACCTTGATCTTAAACTTTGAGCCTCCAGAGGTGTGAGAAATAAATTTCTACTGTTTAAGCCACTGAGTCTGTGATATTTTTTATGGTACCTTGAGCTGACCCAGACAGTGACATAAGATGAGACAGCTAGCAAGCTTTTTAAAATCAAGAGAAGGAAGTGCATAAGAAATTGAAAGAATAAATGAGTCAGTAAAAGGTAATATGTTTTTGCAAACTCCTGTGACTTAAAAATACTTTTAAGAGTGGAAAATTAATTAAACATCTTAAGTAACTGCTGAAAATACCTTTGTGTCTTATAATTTCTTTAAGTCTGTGTTTAAGATACTTAAAATTATTATCACAAAAAAATCTTATTTTCTCTGTACCCTTTCTGTACTATTCTATTTTGGAACTTGAGAATCAATAACTGGCTTTATAATGAGCTCATTGTCCTTAACTTTTGCTTTATTGATTCATGATATACTTATTGAAATGTAATAAACTATTCATAAACTTGCAAAGTTCAATTTTCTCAGAGCTTCTCCAAGGAAATGTATGTGTCTTTCAAAAAAGATTATATTACCTATTTTAAATCTTTTTGATTTTATGTCTAGGGAAAATGCTGACTCACAGCCCTAGATTGCTATTTTATAGCTCAGGCAATTTTTTGAAAACTCACTTGAGATACTTCTGGAGAATAGCAATTTCAAGTACCTGAAGGGTTATTAAGCAGAAGGTGATGACCTACTTTCCCTCATTTGCAGGAAGGCTACAACAAGAAGGAAAAGGCAGGAGAAATAGTGGATATGAAGTAACCTCATCTTGGCTTTCTGTAGCTCTTCTGGCCCAAAGTGCTTTAAAACATCACAGATGTACATAAATATACGTGTACATACACCTTATCTTCATAGTATAACTTAGGAAGGATAGCATTATGGAAAGACAATGCTAGCTGGGTGGAGGTGGTGCACATCTATAATCCCAGCACGTGGCAGGCTGAGGCAGGAGAATCGTTGCAAGTTCAAGAACAGCCTGGGCTACAAACTGAGCTCAAGGCCAGCCTGAACTGCATAGCAAGACCCTGTCTCAAAAAGACAAAAAAAAAAAAAAAATCTAGTAGAAAGACAATGCTTAATTTCCCCAAGGTCACACAATAGTCATGCAGTATCTTCAAAAGATATAGGGGAAATAAATGTAACTCCTAACCTGCTAGTTGTCTAATATGTCGAGTTTGTATTCCCCAAAGTCAAAGAATGAATTCTAGGAGACAGAAGTTATGAGTAGGAAAATATATGGAGGAAAAGGATTAGGGAATTGAAATACCTCCTGAGAGATAGGAGGGGTGGGTCCCAAATGGGTTGTCAGTGAACCCAATTCTCAAAGCAAGTTTTACAGAGCAGAATTAGGAGGTTGGTACAACATGGATCAAAACTATGATCAACCAGTAAGATTACAAGTATAGCCATTTAGGTAATACTGATCCAGTGGGGAAGCAAGCCATATAGCAAGTGTACATGGCTGATATCATTAACCTTCATTGATAATCTATAGTCTTAGTCTTTAGTCTTATTCTTAGTAGATAGTATCAGTAGTCTTAGTCTTAGTCTTAGTCTTAGTCTTTGTCTCAGTGGGGAGAGAAGACGGCCCACACCACTCTATTGAGATAATGGGTTATTTATATGGGAGATGTCAAAAAGGTGTTACCAATAACCTCAAGCTTCCATTTATCACAGTCTGGCCATAGTGTCTTCTTTAGGTGAGGCCTCAGCCACAGTTTTGATCTGTTCTCATCTTCCATACTGACTGCCTCAAGGTCCTACCCATGGCTGCCTATAATATTTCTATCTAATTCAGCTGTCTATAATATTACCCCCTCTGAAGAGGTACTCCTAACTACCGTGATGGGGCAAGGGCCAAAGACCGTTTCGATGACTTCTGGCGAAGGGGGTCATAGTTGTGATAATAAGATCAACAAGACTATTGCAGTTACAACCAACAAATGTTTCCAGCTGGAGGAACTAGTAATGGCCTCCCACGAAGAGGGTAAGAAGGTCCAGGGAATTTCAGAATCTGACATGGGATTAGTCTGTCATTTAATGTCTTGAACAGCCATTGAGATACTATCAGAAGGATCAGGAAAGTACACACAACATTCTGCTTTTACAATTGCACAACTACCCACTTCTGCTTTTTCTGTTCTAGAAGGAAAGGGCTCTACCCAGTTTGTGACAAAGTATCTACCCAGACCAACAGGTATTGGAGCCCCTTACTCTTTGGCATATGAGTAAAATCAAGCTGCCAATCTTCTCCAGGGTATTTACTTTGTCTCTGTATACCTGGAGGTACTATAGTCTAGTTAAGAGGATTATTCTTTTGGCAGAGCTCACATGTCTTAACTATATGTTGTATTAGCTGAGACAGTCCCTTTCCTGTGAATAACTTTGAGGCGATCAGGTGGGTCTTGTCTCTCTCCGAGTAAAAGATTTGAAGCAAATGCTATATCACAGTTCACTTCTTGTGGCTTCACTGT